ATTTAGTGGAACTTACTAGCATTCCTAGTGAGACACCTACTGTAGGGCAGGTTTTTTTTTTTTTTTTTTTGAAAAAAGGATTTATTGAGAGGACAGAAAGCTTCTATAGTAGGAGGGGACCTGAGGAGGTTGCTGGCAGGTTCTTTTAGATGTTATCTTCCTTAATCTTTTTAATAATGTACATAAAAGGCCTAAAAGCTTGCAAATGTGAAATGTAAAAGTTGAGAGCTAAAACAACTGACCAAGGAGGGCCCATATTCTGAATGCTGAGCAAGATTCTGAATGCAGGTATTCTGGCAGCAAGTTTGGTGTTTTTTATACAGTTTGTTCTCATTATAGGTTCTTGTAATGACATAGGTAAAGCAGATTTTCACATTACCTAGAAATATATGAACCTAAGAAACATGCCATTGAAGAATATAGTATGTTACCCTTTCTAGTACTTCCTGAAAAGAGGTGAAACTGACAGAATAGTGGAGAAAGAACAAGACAATATACAGGAAATCCTGAACTGCAGCTATTTGTTTTTCTCTCATCCAACTTGTACTACTTTATTTTAGGCCGCTGAGTTGAATCAACATATGGTAATCAATATTATATCCAGAGTCAAAGAAAAGAACTAGTTTTGATATGTTTCTTATTAGAATATGCTACAAGTCAAGTTAGACTAAGTATGCATAAGCTTAATCATAAAAGGGGTTTATACTAATAAAAATGTAATGCGAGCCACATGTATAATTTAAAATGTTCAGCACCAGGCACAGTGGCTCACGCCTATAATCCTAGCACTTTGGGAGGCTGAAGTGAAAGGATTGCCTGGGCCCACTGGTTCGAGACCAGTCTGGACAACTTGGTGAGACCTCATCTCTACAATAAATGTAAAAATCAGCTGGTCATGGTGGCACATGCCTGTAGTTCCAGCTACTTGGAAGGCTGAGACGGAAGGATCGCCTGAACCCAGCAGGTTGAGGCTACAGTGGCCATGAGCGTGCCACTGCCCTCCAGCCTGGGAGATAGAATGAGACTCCAACTCAAAAAAAAAAAAGTTCAGCTATCAAGAGGTACGAAAACATTCCTTTGGCCTGACCTGGCCACCACACTTAGTATGGGAGAATGAATTGTGTTAAACAATCCCATCCCTTGGCACTAACTTCATATACAACTGCATTGCTACTGAGCAGGTATTGTGCCTGAGTCCTCCCAGTCTCAGCTCCCACAGTCTTGGAAATGACCTCTGGCCCACTCACTGCTTCTCCTGACTCCCATCAGCCTAGTCCCACTTCAGTGAGTTCCTGTCAGGTAATCAGTAAAGATAGTATAAATTGTACACCTCAGTTTATCCATTGACAATCAGGTTGTTGCAAATTTATTGGGTATTACTAACAATACTGTGATGAACATTCTTGTACATTCCCTTTTACTCACGTGGGAGAGCTTTTTCATAAAGTATGTATCTAGAAGTGGGATCGTTCTTTCATGGAGTATTTGCATCTTAAGCTTTAATAGGCCTTGTGAGCAGTGTGAAATAAGGACCTAGTTTTCTTCTCCTGTAGATAGCCAGTTTTTCAAGAGCCATTGATTGTAAAGTCCATCTCTCCCTCCTAATCCACATGACTACATCTGATACAGGTGATGTCTGTGCCTGTGGTATCCGTAGTAGACCCTCTCTTCTGCTCCCTTATCCTCTGTGTCTTTCCTGGCACCAGCACCACACTGTCTGAATTACTGCAGCTGTAAAATCTTGATTTTTACACTGCACAGTGTTTTATTCTGAGTTGTATTGACTGTTCTTGGTCCTTGATCTTTTTTTTGAGTTGGAATCTCACTCTGTCGCCCAGACTTGAGTGCAGTGGCTGCTTCCGGCCACCGCAACCTCGACCTGCTGGGCTCCAGCGATCCTTCTGCCTCAGCCTTCCGAGTAGCCGGAATTACAGGCATGTGCTACCACGCCCAGCTGATTTTTTTATTTATTGTAGAGATGAGGTCTCGCTGCCCAGGTGGGTCTCGAACCCGCGGGCTCAAGCAATCCACTCACCTCAGCCTCCCCAAGGTGCGGGATTACAGGCTGAGCCACCGAACCCGGCTGGTCCTTGATCTTTTGTATAAATTTTGTTGTATAAATATAGTTTATATGTAAATATTCCAAAAATGATGTATGTAAATGTTTTTTACAATTCAGTGTTTTATAATGCAACATTATAAAAATTGTATGTAGAAATCTTGTATAAATAAAAATTGTGTAAGATCTTCTGGTTGTAACATTACACACACGCGTGCACACTCCTACCTTTTGAGATTTAAGTTGTATTTGCATTGAATTTCTAGACTAATTAGGGGAGAATGTCAATCTTGTGATTAAGTCTTTCTTTGGATGAACATGGCCTGTCTCCATTTATTTATTTCGTTTCTGTATTTTCACAAAGGTTTTTATATAACATTCTCTATAAATCACATTTTTTTCTTAATAGATTTATTTCTAACAGTTTGTTGCTGGTGTTTTAGAACATTATCATTGATTTTGTGTATTGATCGTATTTCTAGAAAACTAACTGAACATGTTCATAATTCTTCTGGATTTTCTGCCTGCACAGTTGTACTGTGAATACTAGCAGTTTTGGTCATTTCCAATCTCCATACTTTTCTTCTGCTTGCTGTACTGCCGTGACTTGTGTTCCTAGTTGTATCAGCAATGGGTTAATTATATCAAATTCCCTATTTGAACTTTTTTTGTTTGTTTGTTTGTTTTTTGAGTCAGAGTCTCACTCTGTTGCCCAGGCTGGAGTGCAGTGTTTATCTGCCTCAGCCTTCCAAGTATCTGGAACTACAGGCACAAGTCACCATGCCTGGCTAATTTTTGATTTATTGTAGAGACGAGGTCTCACCATGTTGCCCAGGCTGGTCTCGATACCCTGGGCTCAGGCATTCCTCTCGCTTCCACCTCCCAAAGTGCTGGGATTACAGGCGTGAGCCACTGTGCCCGGCTCTTATTTGAATTTTTGATGTGACCAAATCATCTTTGCCCCTGGTGCTATTAATGTGGTGAGTTACTTTAATCTATTTTTCTATTATTCTACCTCACATTACTATAATAAACTTGACTTTATCATAGATTCATTTTTATATTTCTGGAACACTTTGCTAGATTGCTTCAGATTTTGGCTTTCACATACCTAGGTTAGATTCACACATTCCTTTCTCCAGTTGTCCTTGTCTGGGATGAATCCAAGTTTCTCAGCTTTGTGTGTTGGAGATAATCTCCCAAGGTTTCCTTGCAAAAGCATGTGGGCCTGCCTTTCTGTTGTGATTTTTTTCTATTTGTTTCTTTGAAGATTAGAGAGGGTTGGTTATTCAAACTTCTGTTTCTAATTCACTTTGGGAACTTATTTTTCTAGAAATTGCCCATTGCATCTGTTTTCAAGTTTTTGACAATATTTTTCTCACTAGAATTCTTATATGATTTTTCAAAATCTTTATTATAACTATAGTTTTGGACCCACTTTAGATTCTTTTTTTTTTTTTTTGAACTGGAGCCTCACTGTGTTGCCCAGGCTGGAGTGCAGGGGCACACTCACGGCCACTGCAGCCTTGACCTGCTGGGCTCAAGCAATCCTTCTGCCTCATCCTTACAAATAACTGGAACCATAGACATGTAACCACCATGCCCAGCTAATTTTTTTTTTTTTGAGTCGGAGTCTTACTCTGTCACCCAGGCTGAAGGGCAGTGGCATGCTGCTCACGGCTACTGCAGCCACGACCTGCTGGGCTCAGGTGATCCTTCCAACTCAGCCTCCCAAGTAACTGAAATCACAGACGCGTGCCACCATGCCTAGCTAATTATTTATTTATAGTAGAGATGAGGTCTCATCAATTTGCCCAGGCTTGTCTTGAACCCCTGGACTCAGGCAATCCTCTCATCCCTGCCTCCCAAAGTGCTGGGATTACAGGCATAAGCCACTGTGCCCAACCAGCCCTTTTACTTATTAATATTGCCTATTAATACCCTTTCTCTTTTTTTCCCAGATGTTATTTTTGCCAGAGATCTAACTAGTCTTTTAAAAGACTTGGTTGATGTAGGTTTTTTTATTCTTTCTAAATATATGTCCAGCATATATCGTTTTTCCTCATTATCTCCCTATCTTTATTTCCTTCTACTTTTTTTGGTTTATGCTGCTATTTTTCTATCTTAAGGAGTGGATAAGTAGCTTATTATTTTTCCTCTTCACTGATAATGATTGCTTAAGGTTATGAACTTACCTCCAAGTAACACTCTGGCTTCATTCCACACATTTGGATAAGTAACTGCGTTATTGCTCAGTTCTAAATGTTTGCAGATTTCTTTGTCTTGTTAGTTATTTAGAAGCAAGTTTTTAAATTCTTAGACTTATTACATTTTTAAGTTGACTTCTAAGTGGTTTAGTTGTGGTTATAAAATATCATTATGATTTAACTATTTACTATTTGTAGATTTTTTTACTTAGCTCCTAATATGCTTGAAAAAATGTCATTTCTAATTATAAGTTAAATAAAGTCGTTTTATTATGTTGTTTGAATCTTCTGTGCTTTTTTTTTTTTTTTAAATATCTGTAACCTATGTTACCAAGAGAGTTGGGTCAGTCTCCACCTTAAATCTTGGATATGTCAACTTCTCCTAGTAACCTTCAGTTTTTACTTTCATGTTTTGCAGCTATGTTATTAGATAATACATATAATCAGAGTTAATTGAGTTTTTAAGTTCTTGACCTCTTTTGTTCTTAATAATGTTTTTTATCCTACTACAGTCTGTTATCTGAAAATAATATAAGCAACTTTTATTTGGAGTACTTGTGTCTATACCTTTATTTTCAACTTTATGCCCATAAGGTTGTTTAGGTGTTTTTTTTTAACTGGTAAAAATATTTGTTTTGATACATTTTATCATACTTAAATGAGCAGAGGTTCCATGCCGCCACAGATGTATCTGTGGAGTAAGAGCACTGTGCCCTCCTACTGGTGACTGACTGAATGATGTCCCATCTCTTACAGAGCCAGAGCACACACTTTCCATGCTGTTTCTTCTGTTTACTGATTGCTTCCAAATCCATATGATCAATAGTCCTTTATCCCCAAAGTAGACCCAAAACAGTTGGTTCAGGCATTCTAGGATCTGTACCACTCTTAAATCCCAGGTAAATCACAAGAGGAATAAAGCTCCAGCAAATGACAAACTGGCTGCTTTTGAAGAGCTGTGGCAGCCTCTGCTTGGTCTCTTTGCTCAGCTTTACCATGGCAATAGCTAGGAGATGCTGCAAGGAACTCTATTGTTTAGGTTTAGGACTGTTTAATAGCATGTAGCTGATTTTATAATTGGTCAGTCTATAAAAAAATGTTTGTTTGTTTGTTTGTTTTGGTTTTTAGTTGCCCAGGCTAGGGTACAGTGGCACAGTCTCCACTCACCACAGCCTTGATCTCCTGGGCTCAAGTGATCCTCTGCCTCAGCCTCCCAAGTTGTCGGGACTACAGGTGCACGCCACCACCCCTGGCTAATTGTTTTTTTTAGAGATGCGATCTCTCTGTGTAACCCAAGCTGGTCTCAAATTTCTAGGCTCAAGTGATTCTCCTGCCTCGACCTCACAAAGTGCTAGGATTATAGGCATGAGCCAGCATGTCTGGCCTATTAACACTTAGAGATTACTGACATATTTGAATTTATTCATTCCTCTTATCATTTTTGTGTTTTATGTACTTTGTTTTTTCATTGCTTCCTTTTTACTTGTCTTGCCTCCTAGTCTGTTTTCTTGTTTCTTCTCTTTTCTTTAATAATTAGTAATACAACATAATGTAACCAGTAAGTAATAATGTCTATTGTAATGAATATTGTTGAATTTACCACCCAATCCAGGATCTAGACTACTGGCAATAACTTCCATTTGAATGAGAGTGTGGTTTGAAAGTTTAAAATTGTTTCTCCTAGGTTATCTTTAAATTTTCAGCATCCATTCTCAGTAAGAGCTAAAATTAATATCTCTAATCTTTCCCCAAGTAATAAGGATCTTGAAATATTGCAACTTCATTCCGTCCACCTTTATATATTATTGCTGCCTAGCATTTTAATTCTATCTTATATTTTCTTTTTTTGGGGGGGTACATATTCTGCTTATATACATATCTTATGTTTTAATGTCTTCTAAAGTTTATTGTTATTAGTATAAAATCAACGCTTGTTCACTTTATCTAGGTTACTGGCTTATCAGTATTCCTTCTTTTTTTTTTTTTTTTTTTGGAGTTGGAGTCTCACTTTGTCGCCCAGCCTGGAGTGCAGTGGCATGCTCACGGCCACCCCAATGTCGACCTACTGGGCTCCTGCGATCCTTCTGTCTCAGCCTTACAAGTAGCCGCCTTCTGTCTCAGCCTTACAAATAGCCGGAACTATAGGTGTGCGCTACCACACGCGGCTAATTTTTATTTATTGTAGAGACAAGGTCTCGCCAAGTTGCCTGGGCTGATCTCGAACCTGTGGGCTCAAGCAATCCACTCACCTTGGCCTCCCAAAGTTCTGAGATTACAGGCTGAGCCACCGAACCTGCCCAGTATTCCTTCTTTTTCAGTCTCTTTGGCTTTCATTTTCTTCTTGCTGAAATATGTCTTCTATGGTCTTTCAGCAGTGATCTATTGATAGTAGTTGCTTTATCTTTGTTTGAACATGTCTATTTTATTCCTATTCTTAAATGAGATGAAGATTCTAACTTGACAGTTATTTCATCATAATTTCTACATATTAATCCGTTATTATCTAGTGTGTATTGTTCTTAAGTGGTCTGCCCTTGCTTCAATGGTATTCTTTATTCTTTATAGGTAACCTGTTGTCTTGGTGTTCTAAGATTACATCGTATTGTGTTTTGGTGTAGATTAGTTTGTTATCCTGCTAGACACCTGCTCTGTCATTTTTAGAGGAGAGGGGAATGTTGTATCTTAAGATCCTAGAATCTTCTCAACTATTTTTCCAGTGCTCTCTGTTCTTTGTAATTTTTTTCTTTAGAACTCCTGTTAGACATATGTTGGACTTTCTTGTCCCTCTAATCCATGGTTCTTAACTCTCTTCATTTGTTCCATCTGATTTCTTAAATGCCACTTAGGTCTCAATTTGTATGCTTTTTTAATAGTTTGATCTTATAGTTCTGTTATCTGATGTTCTGGACTCTAATCCTATTTCATTCTTACTTTTTGAACTTGGACTTTTAGCCTCTGCAGTGTGGGTTGATCTGTGGTTATCCTTTTTAGCGTGGTATGAGATTTTTTTCTTGCCTCAGATTGCTTTCTGTTTTGTTAATTTCTCAGTTTGGGCTACGGGGTTTCTGAACAAATGGGGCTGGCTGTAAGGATCTGAGCCCATACCTTTGTAGAGTTCTAGTTCATTGTCTCTAGAGCTCAAGAAACACTTTCACCTCTACCTCCCAGCTCAATCCAGTCAGAGAAAGCATCCTGTAGTCTCTTTATGATAGTGGGTTCTTCTTTTCTTTTCTTTTTTGACCTATCTTCTGTTAAGTGTGTAGCCCTTTTGAGGATTATGACTTTATGGAGTGGGATGGTGTCCCTCTCCTAACCTTTTACCCAGAATAAGTCCACACATCTCCCGTCTCCTTGAGTACTGAAAACTCAAATGTTACAGACTGATAGTCACACATCATCTGGTCTGAATTATTGCTGGACATGGAAGTCCTAAACTTTAGCTATACAAACTATGTATTAGTTTCAGTGTGCTAAAGTTTGCTGAGAGGAAACGCTGGTCATGATATCAGCACAGAAGCATCCTGCAATGGTTTGTAGCACAAATTTAACATTTGATTTTATAATCTCTTTTGCTAACTACATGTTTTTAACTTTTAACCAACTCTGAGGTTTCCTTTGCATTAGGTACTGTGCCAGCATCTAACTGTGTTGACTTTCTAGCTTCACTGGAAGTTCTTTGACAATGGACCTGTGACTATTCTGAATCCCTCTTCCTCATTTCTTTCCACAGTGCTGAGCACTCAAAAACAAAACAACAACAAAAAACACAATTGTGCTAGTTGCTGGTTGGTTAATCCCCATCTAAAGATCTCCTACAAACCACAACAATAACACAAAAAAGGATGAAGAGCTCCTTGGTGCTTAAGAGGCTCTTCCAATATTAGGGAGGGCCCACCCACCCAGTATCATCCTGATGATTTAGAGCATTGCTTTGAACACAATGTCCTTGTCTCTTTCTCTGCTTCAAGCAGCAGGTTTTCTCTGCCTTCAGTGCTTTCTCTTTCCCAGTGGTGTATGAAGTGCTATGGTGTTTCTGCTGGTTCCTGGGCTTCTCTCCTGACCTCGCACATACAGTTGCCTGCTCATATCCCCACTTGCCTATCCAGGGCATCACAGCCTTAATCCATCTGGTCATCCTTGAATCTCTCCATCTCAGTAAGGGCAGCTCTTTGCAGTCACTCAGGCCAAGAACTCGTCATGCCTTTCTTAACTTCTCTCACATCCCTCCTTAAGTTAATAAGGAACTTCTTGGTGCTACCTTCCAAATATATACCAAATCTGGCCACTTATTTTGCCATTGCTGCCAACCACAATGCAAACCATTGTCTTCTTTAGACTGAACAACTATAGTAGGCTTTTCCTCTCCCCTCACTGTCCCCTCTCCACTTAGTGTCAGAGTGTTTCACTAACAACACACATCTGGTCATGCCTTCTGCTGCTTGCAATCCCCCACCAGCTCCCTATCATCCTGAGCAACACCTATGTCTTGGCTGCAGGCTGTGCTGATTTCACCTTGCTGTTCCCTGAATGGCTAGATATGCCCCCTGTCTCTTGCCCTCTGTGGGATGGTCCTGTGGCCCCATTGTCTGTGGCTGATTCCCATACTTTATGCAGTATTCTGCTCATGTACCACTTGTCATAGGATCAAACTGGTATCTCTACAAATTCCTCCACTGGTCTTATATTCTTAAAAGAAAGTGGCAGTTATCACTTATTAAGCACAATGGTTGCAGAAGTGACAAGTCATTCTACCAGGGTGGAAACCCCCTGAGAGCAGAGATTCTGTCTTGTGTCTCCAGAGTGAGACTCAAAGTAGGTACCCCTATTATTTTGCATGTATGTGGACCTGTGTAGGGATGGGACTGTGCATAATGCACTTAAAAGGAAGGTGGTTTTATATTGTTAAAGGAAATTAAATTGCAGAGTAGAGATACTTTATAGAAGTGGGGGTCATAAGAAACAGAAACGCGCGGAAGTGAGGGAATAAAAATCCGGATTCCAAACTTTTTGGGGGCACGAGGTGTGCGCTGTCTGGGAGTGTTGTTATGCTAAAGCCGGCCTGCCCTCTGGCTGCTGGAAGTTATACGTGGTTGGCGCCGGCCATTTACCATGTGGTTTCCTTCGAGGTTTCTTTCTCTTGTTTTTGGGGGGGCAGGGAGGCAGGGAGGCAGTATTATTGGTGACATCTGCTTCCAGAGCAGCCTGCCTTCCTGCCACCTTTCTTGTCTTTGGTTATTTTCACTCAGGGGATCTTGCGGGGCGCACTCCCTCTGCTTTCTGGAGGTGATTAATTTCCCAACTCCTTGACATCCCTCTTCCCCATCTAACAAAAGGATGCAAAACTGTCTGAAGTTGGGTACGACTCTTTAGGCACGCTCTGTTGGTCCGGGGCTGCGGTCGCGCGGGGACCCCGGCGGGCGGCGCGTGGGCGCGGCGGGGCGGGGCGGGGCGGCCGCGGCTGACGTGTCTCGGCGGGATTGGAGCCGCCGCCCTATATAGCAGCCGGGGCCCGGGCGCCGCGCCTCGGAGCGCGTCCCGGCTTCTCCCGCGCGGCGGGCGAGCGAGCAAGCAAGTGGACTGACCGGCAGGCTGACCTACCCACGAGTGAGCTACGGCCCGGGCGGGGGCGGGTGGGCGAGGAGCCGGAGAGGGCTGCGCGGAGAAGTTGGGGCGCCGGGGGCGGGGCGGGGTGCGGGGCTGCCGACGTGGAGGGCCGGCCGGGCGGGCGGGGGAGGGGCCTGGGTGCCTCTCGTCCCCCACGCTGGGCCCTCCAGGCCTGCACCCCATCCTCCGGCCCTCCGGTGTCCGCCCTCCCCGCCGTCCAGGTTCCAGTCCGGGCCGTGGGGGGGCCGGCTACGTGTCACCACTGCGCATGGGCCGCAGCGCTGGCACCGAGAGAAGTGCAGAAACTTTCCCAAGTACCGCGGCGCCGCCGGCCCAGCTGCTCGGCGAAAGCAGGGACACCCCCTAAGGGTCTCGCGCCTTCTCCCGGGAGTCTAACGCGGCAACCCCGAGCATTGGCCGCGCGCGGTGGGGGAGGGGCGGCTGACCTGGGCCCAGGTCTGTGACGTTGGCGGGGCGGACCTGCTCCCTCCCCTCCGCTCCCCACAGGAGCGCCCCCTCCCCCAGCTCGGACAGCGCTGACCGGCTGGGGGGTGCGTGTAGCCAACAAGGGGGTTCTTGATGCCTACAGCTCCCACGCCGACCGTGGCCGACTGGGGTCTTTATCCCCCAGGTAGCAGCGGGGCAGGCGCCTGGGTTTGAGGCCGGGCGGCGGGACAGGGGCGCGGGGCAGCCCACGCAGCACCTCCACCTGCCGCGCTTGCTCCGCGCCAGTCTACGTGGTCCGGAGGGAGAAGCTGGTCTCTTCCAGGCCGGAGTACAACTTGGACGTGCCCCAGGGTCCGCGGATGAAAAATACATTACGGAAAAATACCGAATTTGGATGAAAGGCCGGGAGGCCGAGTGGGTTCCTGTCCCTTTAAGCCTGTCCCCGCCCGCGGGCTCTCGTGGTCTGTGGGAGGGCCGTGCTGAGGTGGCATCTGCGAAAGTTCCTCCATGCAGGACGGTGCTGACTTCCAGAACTTGGTAAAGAGCACAAGAGCTTCTCTCCGCTAGTCTACAGTGGTTTCACTGGTGACTTTTCTTAGATTTAGATTTTGTGATCTTTGAGTTGGATCGGGATTTTAGTTTTCTATTCTGAAGTTTGTTTTGTGGTCTTGAGCAATTTGAAAAAAAAATCCCTTGCAAGATTTCTCTGGGGATAGATTTCAGCTGCAGGATTTTTTTTTAATACTCTCCATACTCAGTCCTGTCTAGTGTGTAAAGCCCTTGAGGGTCTCATTAGTGAGGCTGAACTAAAATTCTTTCTGGATTAATACTACTGAATTCTCTTCACAGACTGTTGCCCTTTGAATATGTAGTTGGCAAAACTTATGCAAGGGAATCAACTTAAATACTTCCTTGTTTAGAAGCAAAAAGTGGAATCCTTTAAAACCTTTTCTGTTGCCGTCCATTTTATTGGCTCCAGGTTTCCCACATAATTAAGGCACAGCTGTCATGACTTCCATGTTTCTGCCTTGCCAGAGTCAAGGGTGCTCCACACTTCTTAGGGTGGGAGAAGGTCTTGGCTTCTGCCCTTCTTCCTTTAGTTCTAGTTCTGTTTGCTGCATAGATATATCTTGAGATGTGACCTTTTTGCTGCAGACATTTACACTCTAGAACAAAATTTAAAGTTTAGGTTCAGTTTGAGGTTTGCATTAGGTGGACTCAAATGCTGATTGATCCAGGTTTCCTGGTGGGGAAAGTAGTTGAGAGCAACCAAAATGATGAAGAGACCGAGGCCGTATAAGAGTACCCAAAGGAGATAATAAACGGTGCCATACCTGCCAGAAGGAGTCATGTAGGAGAACTGGAATGGGGAAGGAAGTTGTAGATTTTGTCCTAACTTGAGGTAGACCTGGGCTCCCTGGGAAGTCCATGCATTTCCTCTCCCTGGTGGTGTTCAAAAACTAGGTTAGCGTAATCTCTAACGTTCCTTTCAATCCTGATTTGAGCAATATTAAATCTAGTGAGAAACTGAGATACCAAATGTTTGGCTTCTGTTTTTTTGGTAACTGGCCTTGCCTGAGGTCTCCTGGGAGCTTAAGATAGCAAATGGAAGAGCTGAGAAGGCATGCACACTCAACCCTGATCACTGTCCTGAGATTGTTGAAAGATTCTGTTGGAACAGGATTAAGCCTCTTGAGTGTTGTCTGTGAAGGCAGAGCTAGGAGCGGTGGATCAAACCTTGGGGTATTCATGGAGCTGTGGGGACAGCTTTTTCAGGCAAGTGGACCACTGGGCTGGACATCACTGGATTGGGGGCACAGAAAGACGAATGAGACTGGTTTTTAATAAAATCTTACCCAGACCCAAATGGATGAGGTCACCATTTACATGTGTCATCAGATACTTGTTTTAAAAGCAGAGTTTTGAGTTGTTTGGAAGAAAAAGAAAATCTTGTTTGATGATACCACAACCCTAGATGTTAAACGTGTCTCTGGTTGGGATCCATTCGTTTCAAGCTCTGACAAACTGCCATTTGAAATCTGGAGGCTATGGACCCAGTATATCCTGTCAGACCAGTCTGAAGTTTTCTGGAGGTCCACTCTGTGCCCTTTGCTGGCTGCTGGAGGGCCTGTGCACATGTGGGGAACACTAGAGGCTGTGCCCCAGATTCTCCTCAGACATGGTAGTAGACATGGCTTGATAAGGGGGTGGGTTTCTGGGCTTAAGAAGTGGCATTGGAACCTGGGACTGTGCCAGGAAGAAGGTCAGCAGACAAGAGTGCTCACAGCCCAAGCTGGAGGACTGCAGGAGACAAGAGGGTGGGTGCATGCGGCCAAGACAAGTGCCATCGGATGCCTGTTGGGGCACCTTGGCCTAGAATACCCAATCTTGCTCTCAGACTGGCAGAACACTTGGAATCTCAAGGGACACTTGCCAACTTGTAAATGTGCTGCTGTGACACTTTAACAGAGAAATTGTCTTATCTTTAATCTTTAAAACTTGCAGATTATACTTTCTTCTTTTTCTTGTTCTTTTTTTTGGAGTCAGAGTTTCACTGTTGTCCAAGCTGGAGTGCAGTGGCACACCACACCTGGCTTTTTTTTCCCTTCTTCTTCTAGAGACCAAGTTTTCACTGGGTGTTGCCCAGGCTGGATTTGAACTCCTGGTTTCAGGTGATCTTTCCACCTCTGCCTTTCAAAGTCCAGGAATTACAGGCGTGAACCACTGTGCCCAGCCTTAAATAGAATGTTCTTATTCAGTTTGTCCCACTTTTCCCCCTCTTTGGTCTTGGCGTACATCTGTGTGTCTGGGGCTTTGGCTTGTAGTATACCACCTAGGTGACTCAAGCCCTGCACTTAGAGTTTTTCAGAAATCATGATAAGGATTGCAGTCCTGAAATGCCACTGGTCCACATCCTCTGCTAGGAGAGTGAGACCCTTTCAGTCCAGTCTGTTGTTGTACCCCCATTGCCATGAACTGCCTTTCCAGCTTCTGACCACGTGGCTTATGGGCAGTATATTGGGATGTTATTCTCTAATTGAGTAGTATGTTGCTGTTACTGTTTTTTCTCTCATTTTAGACACATGATTTACCCCTGTCAGAAAGTCCACTTTTTCATAGTTGAGGAGCACGTATAGTTGCAGGCCTCCCCTATCCAGAAGTCCCTTAAGGCGAGGTGACTCACACTCTTACTTTACGTAGTTCTTGGTCCTCCCCAGACAGCTTTTGAAGGTTCCTAACAAGTCTGCTCTTTTATGACCTGGTTTCTAAGTCCCCAGTGGATTAGAAGGAACTAAAGGACTTTTACAGGATATCGGCAAGAAGAGCAAAGTAACTGCAAAATATGCAGAAAACTTTTTTTTTGAGTTGTAATCTCACTCTGTCGCCCAGGCTGGAATGCAGTGGCACAATCAGGACTTACTGGAGTCTTGACCTACTGGGCTCAGGTGATTCTTCCATTTCGGCCTCTTGAGTAGTTGGGACTACAGGCACACGCCACCATACTTGGCCAGAGAACTCATAAGAGCTCTCGAGGTCTGCATTCTGTTGTGGGTCAGAGCCTACCCTCACAACCCTTTGGGCTCAGCAGGAGGTCACAGGAAGTACAAGGAAGATGATACCACCGTGCAAAAGAACACCATCAATTTTGTGAGGATTTGACTTCAAATGGTTACATTTTAAACTTTTTGGCACTTAGGGATCACTTCCTCAGGTCCCTGGAAACATTGCCCTCTGAAAGTTGTAGCTGGTTTGGGTTTTGTTGTAAAATGTTTGTGTGAAGTGAATGGCTTAAGAGTGGAGCAGGCAAGACCTCATCTCTACAATAAAATCAAAAACTTAGCTGGGCGTGGTAGCGCGCGCCTGTAATTCTGGCTACCCGGAAGACTGAGGCGGAAGGATCACCGGAGCCCAGCAGGTCCAGGCTGCGGTGGCCGGGAGCGGCTACTGCACTCCAGTCTGAGCGACAGAGTGAGACTCCAACTCAAAAAAAAAAAAAGAGCGGAGCTTTCATTTTTTTTTCCTCCAAAAAACTTGCTTACGGTCGGTAGTCAAAGTGTAAATAATATTTTGACCTTTTCGGGTTGGGAGGTAAAGAGGTCTGGGTTGTAAAATGTAGAAAAGTAACTTTTCTCTGGTGTTCTCCCTCTTCTCTTGCTCTTCCTATCCCACACTAGCAAAAGCTGGCAGGCTGACAGAAGCGGCCTCAGGACGGACTTCCTGGCTTCTGACCCTTTTGCTGGTAAGTTTGATTGTCCTTTCTAAAGCCCGTCCCTGGACTGTGTATGGACCTGGGAGCATGAGGATGTATATTTTCTTAGTCCTGTGTGTACCTTCTTTCATTATATTGCATCCTCAAGTTTCAAGTGGTTCCTTGGAGACATCACTATAACTTCACCTCTCAGCACAAGTGTTCAGTAGACATGTGCCCTTCAGATAATGTCATCTGGCTTCCATCTGTCTTTAATCTTTTTTTCTTAAATGAGAATTGTGTTAATTTAGGATTATTTGAATTTGGGTCTTCTCTTTAGAAATGCAGAGCATATTTTTCTTAACTTGGAAAGAGGTCTTGTGTTATAAAAATTACAGTAAAACTTCTTATTAAATTACCTCGCCCTCTTATACTTTTTCCAAGGTTGTACAAGTAGTTGATGTACATTTGTGTGAAGAAAATGAGTTATTCCTCGTTATAGTAGTTGGGAGCTTATCTGAAATTAGGAGGAAGGAAGGAGAGGAAGCTAGCACCCCTACCTCAGAATGCTGAATGCACCCTATTATCCAAATAAGGGAGCTGTGGCTTTCAGAGTCCATAGCCCACTGAGTACTGTAAGCCCTCCTACTGTGAGCCCCATCCCCCACCTGGGAAACAGAATGGAGGAGAATAATAAGCACATATCAGAGGCATTTAGTACAATTTGTGGGCCTGTTTATTGTTACCACAAAGCATTGTGCGACTGCTGCATCCTCCACGCAGCTACCACCACCAGCCTGCCTAGTTAACGCCACACAGCTACCACTGCTGACCTGGTTAATTGGAGATTGTGAAGTGGTTCCATTAGGGCCCTTGGCTGCACCTTTTGGATACTGGTTGGTTCTTAGTACCAATTGTTGTGATGTATTTTGTAAGCTTCAAGAGGCATATTGTAAACAAATTAACAAAATAACTGAGGTAACTTAGGAGTATGATCCTGGTGTTGATCTGTGCCTGAGAGCTAGGTCAGGCAGATGACAAGTTCCAGTCCCTCCACTCATGTAGGTGGCAGAGGATAATGCAGACTGTCTCTCTGTGGCCCCTTGGGTAGACAAGTGAGTACAGACTCCCCTGAGTGGATCCCTTGTCTCCTCAATTACTTGTGTTTTATTTTGTTTTTTGAGTTAGGGTCTTACTCTCTTGCCCAGGCTGTAGTGCAGTGGCACAATCATGACTCACTGCAGCCTCAACTTCTCGGGCTCTGGTGATCCTTCTGCTTCAGCCTCCCAGGTAGCTGCGACTATAGGCACATACCACCATACCTGGCTGATTTTTTTTGTTGAGACAAAGTCTTGCTATGTTGCCCAAGTTGCTCTCAAACTCCTGAACTCAAGCAGTCCTCTTGCCTAGACCTCTCAAAATGTTGGGATTACAGGCATGAGCCACCTCACCCAGCCACAGGCAGCTTTTGAGAAGACAGTTAACTAGCTGTTCTAGGACTGGACTTTACTTACTTTTTTTTTTTTCATTTCATCACTTATTGAGAGTTTGATATCAACTTACATAAGAGGTTGTGAGGAAAACAAAAAGGTATATAGTTTGCTAGGAAGAGAATGCAACCCTTGGCTAAAACTCTTAGGTTAGCAGTCTCATAGATAATTGAGAGTTGTACTTTTGACTCTGACTTCTTTTTTGCTTTAGTGGCTTACCCGGATTGTGTGTAGGCGTGTGATCAACCATGAGCTCCGTTGCAGTTTTGACCCAAGAGAGCTTTGCTGAACACCGAAGTGGGCTGGTTCCTCAACAGATCAAAGGTGACAGCCCCATTATGTGCTCTTCTTGTTACCCTCTAAGACATTGCTAAGGCAATCCTTAACAAATCTCATGCCCTTTCCAGAAGTACCTTTTAGTCCTGTGGTTGTGAGACAAGAAGGGCCTATTGCCTTGTGCACTCTTGGTTTTGTACTGTGTGCAAGGGGAGTTGGTCAGGCATGAGGGAATGAATCAAATTTGAAATGTGGACTACTTTCTGGTTCACATTTGGTAATTAATGCAGCGCTTTTCAAAACTGCTGTCTCTCAATTGTGAGGAACTAGAATCTGGGATTTGAAGTGTCCCAGAGCATTGTCAAGCCCTTCTTGAAGATGAATGCTGGGGGGCCCTGGCTTTTGAGCTCTTGAAGGCAGCTGGCCAAAATCAAGAACAAAGCTGTACAATTAAATAGAGTGCAACCCACATATATACTTTAGAATTTTATGGTACCTATGTTAAGTGAAAAGGAACAGGTGACATTAATTTTTATATTTAGCCTACTATGTGTAAAACGTGGTCATTATAAAATTTTTTTTTTCTTTTTTGAGTTGAAGTTTCACTCTGTTGCCCAGGCTGGAGTGCAGTGGCATGCTCATGGCCACTGCAGTCTCGGCTTGCTTGGCTCAGGCAATCCTTCCACCTCAGTCTTACAAGTAGCTGGAAATACAGGGGTCCGTCACCATGCCCAGCTATATAACATCTCTTTAATGTAAAAAAAAAAAAAAAAAAACACTGATATTTTACTTTTTTTTTTTTTTTTGAGTCAGAGTCTTACTCTGTCACCCATACTAGAGTGCAGTGGCACACTCATGCCACCCACCTGCTTGGCTCCAGCGATCCTTCCACCTCAGCCTTCCAAGTAGTCAGAACTACAGGCATGCCCTACTACACCCGGCTAGTTTTTTTGTTTTATTGTAGAGATGTGGTCTTGCCAAGTTGTCCAGGCTGGTCTTGAATCCGCAGGCTCAGGCAATCCACTCACCTCGGCCTCCCAAAGTGCTGGGATTACAGGCTGAGCCACCGAGCCCAGCCTATTCTTTTTTTTTTCTTCAAAATCTGATGTGTATTTACAACTGCAAGACATTTTTACTTGAATGCTAAATTTTCATCCAAAATCCTTGCTCTGTTTTAAGATCTCATAAAAATGTTCATTTGAAAGAATAGATTATTCTACTCCAGTTTGTTTCAGACGTACTTAAACGTTTTCCAATAACTGAATTGAATATCAGTTCTAAAATTAAAATTTAACATTTACTTCCTCGGTCACATTTCACAGGCTTATTTCTAGTTCTTGCTGTGTTGAGTTCATTTCCAGAAGCTACTTTGTTTTGGGGGCCCGGGATCTCCCTACTTAAGCCAGCTACGCTGTGAAGTCTGTGTTGTTTCCCTTTCTAGAAAGAGAAAATGGCACAGAAAAAAATTCAGCCACCTGTCACGTCAGCACTGTTGGGGTGGCATGGCTGTGTGGCTAGAAAGTGTGGACCTGGACCCAGACATAAGCCTTTGATTCCAAAGGTCACCGCTCTGTTCTCTGCACATCCATTCATGGTGTTCTGGCCTTACTATTGCCAGATAGTGGAGGAGTGCTCAGCTCTGGAGACTTAAGGTTGTCTAAAATATAGTCATTGCCCTTGCTTTCATGGAGATTGTAGTTAATGGGACAAAAATATGTACAAATTGGGCACTGTGGAAGATGGAAGTCATAATCATGGAATCTGATTTGCACAAGTCTGCTGTTCCTTGCCTTTGGTAGGAGAGATCAGAGACAGCAGCTCCCACAAGAGTTATTTTCAACATTGTTCATTACTGTGGGACATCGGTTGGTATTCGCCTCCAAGACAATTCTCATAGGCAATGCTGGGCCAACATTGTTTTACTTTGAAAACTTAAGGGCCTGCTCCGTGACCACCACTGTCAAGGTTGTGATTTTTTTAAGTATGGTTTTGGAATAATCTTAAGAAAAATTGCTGTGGCAAGGTCTACCTTCAGGGGTCTTACCTCAGTAGGGGAATGGGGCTCATAGTGTTTGAACTGCCTGTTCATAGGGAAGGTCTTGTGGTGGAGAGTCTCTGACCTCCTCCAGTTCCCACATTCAGAAAGGGTACTGGGCCTGGTGACCCCCTAGAGTCCTTTCCAGTCACTATGAATGAGGAAAGTGGGGATGGGGTGAAGTCCTTGGAGCAGTTGGTGTTTTTTGTTGTTTTTTTAAACACTAAAACCCTTGAAGTGGTCCATATAATGCTGAAAGTAGTGTGCTTCCTCTTAATCTATGTTGGTTGGTCCAGTTGCCACTCTAAATTCGGAAGAGGAGAGCGACCCTCCAACCTACAAGGATGCCTTCCCTCCACTTCCCGAGAAAGCAGTCTGTTTGGAAAGTGCCCTGGAGCCTGCTGGAGCCTGGGGTAACAAGATCCGGCCCATCAAGGCTTCTGTCATCACTCAGGTAGAAAAACCATTCCTTCTTAACCTATCCCTCCAAGTAGGAAGTTGTAGGAGCTGATGGAAGGACTTTTAAACATGGCAAAAATAAGAGTACGTTGAGTAGATAAAGGGAGGAGGCCTTCAGGTTAATCACCCCTTTGCAAGCTCCTGTTGAACATAGCTTCTGTCATGTTCACCTGTATCCTAGCACCCAGAAGCTTTGGCACAGTCAGTTTGCAGGCAGTATTTGTCAAATTAATGGGTCCCATTTGCTGTTTTCCTCACTGCAGTCCAGTCCCTGCTCTCAACTCCTGAAACTGCTAGTACTTTCCACTTATCAAGAACTGGTCTGTCTACTCATCCCATGTTCTTGAAGCAGTTAACCACTTTCTTAGTTTTCTTTGACTTCACTAGGCCTTCTCTCTGCTCCCTGAATTTGAGATGTTGGCTGGCTTCAAAGCTTCAGTATGAACTCATGTCTGGTCATGGTGGAAGATTACTGTTCATGTGCCAGGAGGTCTTCTCTGAACTCTAGATTTATAATCAGCCACATCCTGATGCTTCCACTTTAACCTGTTATGTTTTTAATAATTTTGTTAAATGTACCACTGTCTACTTGATGGCTCAGGTCTCAAACCAGGGTAGTGAATTCCTCCTGCTTCCACCTGCCCTCCTCTCTCTTCCATAGAGCAGCTAAACCCTGAGCCCTTAAGCAGAGTGTGTCTTGCTTGAAACCATTTGACTTTTACCACAGGGTGCGCTGGGTGATCCTCTTAACCATACCCTTCTGGTGTGCTCAGGAGACTCTACCTCATCTGACTCCTCCTTGGCTTTCCTGTCTGCAAACCCTTGGTCTTTTGCTGGTACCCTTTCTTCTCCTCCTAGCCTAGATAGATGGCTGCCTTATCTCTTTAGGAAGGTCTTTACTGGCCATCCCCAGTGTAGCTTCCTCCCATCCCTCCTACCCCAACTCTCAACTCCCTGTTAATATCTGTCACAGCACTCACTGTCTCCTCTTATTCATTTGGGTAATGGGTGTACTTCTTTTAACTAGAGTGTGAGTGTCAGTCTCCTGACCATAGGTGCTTCTCCTTATATTTCAACTGCTTTGTTCTGGGGCTTAGAGCGGTGCCTGTGGTGGGGGCTACATAGTGAGTGATTGATAATGAATACGTATTCTTTACTCCCTGTCTGTTGACCTTCTTTGTTGTCTTTGACCTCTTAACCTTCACTCTTTTGATCCAAACAGGTGTTCCATGTACCCCTGGAAGAGAGAAAATATAAGGACATGAACCAATTTGGAGAAGGTGAACAAGCAAAAATCTGCCTTGAGATCATGCAGAGGACCGGTGCTCACCTGGAGCTGTCACTGGCTAAAGACCAAGGCCTCTCCATCATGGTCTCGGGGAAGCTAGACGCTGTCATGAAAGCACGGAAGGACATTGTTGCTAGACTGCAGACTCAGGTGAGTGGCCCCAAGCCTAGTTCTCCTGACTGACTGTACTGTGCTGTGTTATAGCCTGACATGGGGCTAGAACTTTACTGAACTCTTCTACCAGGGGGCAGTTGAGTTATTTGGAGTTAGGACAGCAACATTCAGCACTTTCTGGCATGTTTAGTTAAAAAAAAAAAATGAAACAAAACAAAATAAGCCCACTAAATCAGTAACAGATCTAGGATGCCTACTATTTTTGCTATTTGAGTGAATAAACTGAATATTATTATTATTATTTTTTTAAGAGACAGGATCTCACTGTGTTGCCCAGTGTAGAGTGCAGTGACTATTCCCACATGCAGTTATAGCACATTGGAGCCTCAAATTCCTGGGCTCGAGTGATTCTTCTGCCTCAGCCTCCCAAGTAGCTGGAAATACAGGCATACCACCATGCCTGTCTGAACTGAAAATTAAAGACTTGACTGGGCATGGTGGCTCACACCTGTAATACCAGCAAATCTAGTTAAAAGAAGGATCACTTGAATCTAGGAGTTTGAGACCAACTTAGGCAACATAGTGAGGCCTCATCTCTACAAAAAAAGGTCAAATAATTAGCCAAGCATGGTGATGTGCATCTGTATTCCCAGCTACTTGGGAGACTAAGACAGGATTGCCTGAGTCCAGGATGTCAAGACTGTGGTAGTGTGTGCCATTTCACTCTAGCTTGGACAACAGAGTGAGACTCCAGCTCAAAAAAGAAAAAGAAATTAAAGACTTGTCCCAGTTCAAAAAACTTAAAAGAAACTGGGCTCGCTGGGTGGTATAGATGGGCAGTTCCTAGTGTTTTGCTAGTGCATTTGTTAAATACACTTTTCTAGGCCCCAAAGTTTGAAGTGCAAATTCTGTTTTGTTTTTAAACGAGTTCTCTAGTCCTTGGTAGTCTGATGCCAGTACTTGGACTTTGAGAATTGTTGTAATTAATAAGTAAATAAATCCATTTCTCCCCTCCCTGGAAGCACTTAAAGAATAAGAGAATCTTATGTAGAATGTAGAGAATTTTATTAAAATGTTGCATGACAACTGTTACACTAGATGGATTTATTTAGAAAGGTAGGTTCTTCATACCTGCTGCTCAGCCTTTGTAGGAGCTGGCTTTGAAAGGTGGTGGTTGGAGAGTGAGGATCTCATGGGAAAGAGGTCCCAGGGCAGGAAAACAGGGTATGGCACAGAGAAGGAGCACTACTCAGTGAAGGTCCAGTCCAGCTCTGTCACTTACTCAACCACATCAGGACAGGACATCAGGAGAGTCCCAAATCCCAGCTGGCTTCATGGAATTAAATCATTAAGTGTTAAGCAGATGAAAATGCTGCTTGTAATGGTTTAGCTTTGTGGCTAGTGCATAGTAGGCTCTGAAATTTTTTGCTGTTGTCTACTAGTCAGTGAATATTTGAGCATCTGTTTTGTGATTGAACACTGTTGGGGGAAGGGACACTTCATTGAATATGTGAATCATATGAAGGCTTTTGTCCCAGACTATTCCCCTGACCCTTGATTATTTCAATGCAAATGCCAGACAAATTATTTCACTTAGAAATACTTTAGTGTGACCCCTCTCTTAAATATGCATGCATATCATCAGTGTTCTGTTAATTCAGTTACATTGATAGTGATTTCTTAATGTCATCACCATATTCAACCCAGTCTGTATATAAACTTTTTTCTTTATCTCAGGGACATCTTTTCCAATAGATCTGTTCAAATCAATGTCAAAACAAGTTCTCCACATTGCATTTGATTGTAGAGTCTCAGGTTTCTCATTTTTTAACAGTACCCCCTCCTTTCCCTTTTTAAATGCCATTGATTTATTGGAGAAAGTGGATATTTGGATTATTCTGCTGTTCATCATTTCCTGTGAACTGGTGTTAGACCTCTAGGAGCTTCCACATTCAACTTGTTTGGAAGAAAACTTTGTAGGTGATGCTGTGTACTTGGTGTTATAGCTGGTTGTTCTAGTACTAATTTTGAAATTGATCGGATTGTTGTCAGTCTAATTAGTCCTTTATAAAATTCCTTGTCAATCTTTTGCTTTATAGTTTTACCATCCATTGGTGATCACTGCCTAAATTAGTTAAGGGTTGCAAATGATGGTTTTCTGATTCTATCCCTGCTCATACATTAGTTGATAATTCTTGTAAAGAACTTTTCTTCGTCAGCAGTTGAGTGGGAAGTGCCAGATAAATAATTGAGCCTTCTCTCCACGTCAGTTTTTAAACTAAATTGGCACTCTGGCATTTTCAGTGTTGATCAGTGAGTCTTTTTAGTGTCAGTTTGAACTTAATTTCTGATGTGTTTAAATTGCAGTCCTACTTTATGCTAAAATTGCCACATCTTTGGTCCTGTAACCCTGTCACGTTTGCTCCCTGTATCTTTCTGTCATAACCCACTGATATCGATAACTTTTTAATTTCTAACACATAAAGATGTGTCAGGGCTGGTGCGGTGGCTCACACCTATAATCCCACCACTTTGGGAGGCCGAGGTGAGAGGATTGCCTGAGCCCACGGGTTTGAAACCAGCCTGGG